ATTTCCAATGTTTTCAATAAATAAAAATTGTTTCATTAAATTGTTAAATCAATTTTAGTAAGAAAACACGCTAAAAACCAAATTCCACGAAGTGTATCACGCTAAAAACCAAATTCCAATATTCCGACGAATACGACTATTATTTACAAATCCAAAGCAAACGACGATTCCTAATCCGAGTGTCCAACCCCTAGTCAAAATCCATGTAATCCAAAAAGAAAATGTTCCGACTTTTTACTGTATCCGGCCTAAATACAAGTTAGTTCAATCTCGATTTTGGCTCTATATAAAGTTTTCTTTTTGTAAATGGGCCTTTGGCTTCTAATTAATAATTAGATTAATTATTAATTGCAATACTTGAATAGCTTAAAAATTCGAAAACATTATTTAACAAACCAATTGGCCAATTCATGTTGTAAGTCATTCATTGCGCTAGCACATTTTGCGTAGTAACGAACTTGGGAGCCAACGAATTCATGCAAATAGCGCAAATGACTCGTCTGAGATGTACTAATTCCTTCAAGCAGAAGTTTCGTTATTTCAGCCTGGCGATCAAACTCTGATTGAGCTACACGCAAATCTCGTTCGGCCTAAAAATTCAAAATAATTCATTCATTAAAACTTATAAAACTTATTTAGAAAATTAAAAAAATAAAACAAATTAAAAACGAAGGACGAATTTGAAACTTTTTTAACTGTGGTGTACCTGTTCGAGGGCCACTTCCGGTAAAATTCCATCTTTCTGATAGTGTTTGATTTATCAAATAAAAAAAGTCATTGTCTTTTTTTCAGCATCGAAGAATCAATACGGGAACATTATTATTTTATAAAATGGATTTGGTTATAATTACCGTTTGTTGTCCAAGCATGCTTCTTGCTTTGCGAACTTTTGTTTTACAAGCATCCAAATCCAACCTGAAAAAAATCTGGCGTTGAGTTTTGATATTACTTCTCCTAATCCCAATCGGAAAAATGTCAACAGAATTTTTTTTGAGATGGGTGATTGTGGCTGTATGAAATGTTTTGATGACTACTAGCGGAAATATGAAAATTTTCGACGTGGTTGTTTCATTCATCGGCTCATTGCTGGCTTGATATTTTCTATAGTACTTTAAAACCATTATAATCAGAGAAGTACTAGAAGTCACTCCATTTAAATTTATTTAAATTAAAATCATTAAATTAAATATTTTGAAAATATTTCAATATTTTTCATTTTTCTTCTGATAAAATGTAAGCGTGTTTGTCGATTTATAAGCGCCATCTATTGCGAATTTGTACCATTTTTAGTTAAGAGGGACTGGCTCTGATGTCAAATTTTAAATCGTACGTTTCACGTCGCTCCCCTGACACCGATCGACGACCATATAAAACAAAATTCTTTATACCAATATGTATTGGTTTTTTTTTCGGTGCGAGGAATCCGAATCTGGTATTAGTTTTGCGATCCGACTAATTTTTAATACATTTTTCATCTGAAAAAATCATCAAAATTGTTGATTTTGTATAGGTGCTATATCTGTATGACATCTCAATGACGTGAAACTTTTTACAGCCTATGTTGAATCTGGTAGAATTTACACACTGTGTCTAAAATATAAAATTAACTATATAAAATTTTATTGAATTCAACCAAAATGATGTTTCTTTACTTGTTTAGCTCCATGGGGGCGACTTGAAAAAACTTGACATCAGCGCCAGGCCCTCATAACTAAAAATGGTACAAATTCGCAATAGATGGCGCTTATAAATCGACAAACACGCTTACATTTTATCAGAAGAAAAATGAAAAATATTGAAATATTTTCAAAATATTTAATTTAATGATTTTAATTTAAATAAATTTAAATGGAGTGACTTCTAGTACTTCTCTGATTATAATGGTTTTAAAGTACTATAGAAAATATCAAGCCAGCAATGAGCCGATGAATGAAACAACCACGTCGAAAATTTTCATATTTCCGCTAGTAGTCATCAAAACATTTCATACAGCCACAATCACCCATCTCAAAAAAAATTCTGTTGACATTTTTCCGATTGGGATTAGGAGAAGTAATATCAAAACTCAACGCCAGATTTTTTTCAGGTTGGATTTGGATGCTTGTAAAACAAAAGTTCGCAAAGCAAGAAGCATGCTTGGACAACAAACGGTAATTATAACCAAATCCATTTTATAAAATAATAATGTTCCCGTATTGATTCTTCGATGCTGAAAAAAAGACAATGACTTTTTTTATTTGATAAATCAAACACTATCAGAAAGATGGAATTTTACCGGAAGTGGCCCTCGAACAGGTACACCACAGTTAAAAAAGTTTCAAATTCGTCCTTCGTTTTTAATTTGTTTTATTTTTTTAATTTTCTAAATAAGTTTTATAAGTTTTAATGAATGAATTATTTTGAATTTTTAGGCCGAACGAGATTTGCGTGTAGCTCAATCAGAGTTTGATCGCCAGGCTGAAATAACGAAACTTCTGCTTGAAGGAATTAGTACATCTCAGACGAGTCATTTGCGCTATTTGCATGAATTCGTTGGCTCCCAAGTTCGTTACTACGCAAAATGTGCTAGCGCAATGAATGACTTACAACATGAATTGGCCAATTGGTTTGTTAAATAATGTTTTCGAATTTTTAAGCTATTCAAGTATTGCAATTAATAATTAATCTAATTATTAATTAGAAGCCAAAGGCCCATTTACAAAAAGAAAACTTTATATAGAGCCAAAATCGAGATTGAACTAACTTGTATTTAGGCCGGATACAGTAAAAAGTCGGAACATTTTCTTTTTGGATTACATGGATTTTGACTAGGGGTTGGACACTCGGATTAGGAATCGTCGTTTGCTTTGGATTTGTAAATAATAGTCGTATTCGTCGGAATATTGGAATTTGGTTTTTAGCGTGATACACTTCGTGGAATTTGGTTTTTAGCGTGTTTTCTTACTAAAATTGATTTAACAATTTAATGAAACAATTTTTATTTATTGAAAACATTGGAAATCAAATATTTTTTTTTATAATTGGTATCAAATTTATGGACTAAAATTATAATTTTAATTTATTAATTGCTGTACGACTTATGAATATAAATAAGTTCATTTATAAAACCGTCAATGCAGATATAAGTTCGATGGTCGTATTTTGAGAGTTATACAAAACATGTAGTTATTAAAAATTAAAATGTTAAATGTGTGTTAGTTTTTATTAAATTGTATTAGTTTTCAATTTAAATTTCTCAAAATTACAAAAAATATTGAATTTCAATGTTTAAGATTGAAATTAAATGATATCCTTGTGCATATACTGTACAAACAGAATATAAACTAGATCATTGAATTTTTGGGAATCGTCGGAATAGCGAGAATCGAGGATTTGATGTATATTCTTCATTTTCAAACGGTGTCTAACCCCTAGGATTTTGAGTATTTGTGACAATTCGTTTTCTCTTTTGAAAAATTTCAGTAGTCTCGGAGCATATATACCAATTGAGATGCATGATGAAACAACGAAGAAAGAAAACGATATTCCCATGCATCGCCGAGCTAGAGTTCTGTGCTCATACGACGCTAAAGATAGCACAGAATTGAGCCTCACTGCAAATGAAGTAATTACAGGGAGTCCACGAAGTGCTTGTAAAAAGATCCCACAGATTCCTTTCGCCCCTGTGACGCTTCACTATGGAGTTATCGCCCACATAACCTCACAAGCTTCGTCAAAAATCTCAGTACTCGGATAAGTGACACGCCAACGGACTATGTACCTGGAATTTTCGTCAGAAATGTATGGGTTGGGGCTCCTTATAAAAAATAAGTAGGAAAAATTCGACGAAGGCGACTTACGCATGTTAGACCAATACACCGGTGTAAATAATACTATTTTAACTCATTTTGAGGGGTAGACGTTCTACTAACTTCAAACATCAGAATAACCTTACTCAAATATTTCTCACTGTGCAAAAAGTGACCTCCACAAGAAAAACAAGAAAGGGCATCAATTGTGATCAGAACTTCTATAATTACAGTAGATAAAATTGACTCTTGCGGGGATTGCCTACGGAAGTTTGCCCAATTTTTTTCTTCTTTTTTTTTGTCAACATCTGTGGGATTTTTTAAGAGATAATCGTCGTGTTACTCACCTTCAACCATTGAATATCTCGTGTCCGAATTTTGTAAGATCAATTTTAAAAACAAAAAACCAACGTATTAAACGTATTAAAATCAATTCAAAAAGATTTTGTGATATGGACATTAAGATTTATATATCAAAGAGATGAGAATTATGTATTGCCACCGTATCAGTTTAGATGTGATGTTTTAAATATTCAACCGCTTTGGAGACGGCGTATAAATGCCTCTATATTTTTAATTTATGATCTGTTATTAGGTAAAATATTGTCAAATTCGCTTAGAGATAAGATTGTATACACAAGACAGCAATATAACGTAAACCAAAGAAATTTGAGAAATACAGAACTTATTAGAGTACGAATGTTTACATCGGACTATGCACATAATCAGCCATTTTACGTAGCATGTAGGAATTTCAATTTAATACGAGAACAATTTTTTGAATCGGCATCAAGAGAAATTTTTAGGAATAATATTATTCAAGTAGACAATTTGATATTTAATAATCGGTGAACAGATAATTTTAAAGAATGTATGGAGACGAAAGAGATTACACAATGAACACAATCGATATCTGCTGCTCCGAAGTCGAAAAGACTGGTAGCTGGATATTCGATCGGGTAGTGTTTCATTGTTTCATTGTAAACGATATTGTACAAATTTTGTGATAAATTCAGTCTGTGATCAGACGGTGAAATAAATAAAAAAATAAATAAATTACACGTCATTTATTGCATTTAATTTTCTTTATTTGTGGATTTATTATTTTTAATTTTCGAATTGCATTTTTCGTTTGGCGCGGTGTATATGTGTCAACCAAATCCAACGATATTCATTTATATGTATTAAAAATGTGCTCGCATCGTGTGACAGTATTGTTAGTATAAACAACTTCCATCACTTTGAAACTACAATCGCACCAACCGATTTTGTTTACAATAAAACTTTGTTTTGTTTTTAAGAGGATTTCTTGAGAATTATATGAGAGTGTTTGAAGCGTGGTTTGGGTGATCAATTGGTTTTATTGTCATTTCAATTTCAACAATTTTGTGTGTTCGCTGTTTGCTGTGGAATGGATATATTCACAGTTGGTTTTGTGTTCATTTTTGTTTTAATTTCGAAATAACAGAGTGTTGATAAAATTTACTGTGGATATTCCAACAACATTTCGATCGGAAAAATATTTGAAATAAATATCATCACATTGGAAATAAATTTCATCATTCGATTTAGAATACAGAGTCCTTTGTTGAGGTAAGACGTCAAAGCAATGTTATGGATATATGACACATATATAACATATCTGACCGCCAGGTGGCTGTTTGTAGCTAAGGGGACAGATATATGCTTTAGTCGTACCGGGTGGTTTTGGGATGACTTTAATTTTTTGGCCTAATACAATACCTTCCCTACACTAGGTGTGCGGAAAAGTAAAATGATGAGCCGTCATTATTAGGTGTAAAAATAGAAAATTGGTTACCCGAAGCGAGTCGACCTTTGTGTGTCTGTATATATTGGTACCGCGTTGCAGCGGTGTAGACGTATGAAATCACACTAGCCGCTGAGTAATTGAATTATAATGTTTATTTTATTACATAATTCGTCACGATATTAATTTTTTTTTATCTTTTTTGTTCACAATCACATTCTTTTTTTATATTTCTAAATAAATAAGTCTCGTACAAAATGTAATACAATAATTAATATACAACTTGCTTGACAGCAGATTTCGATAGGGAAAACTAATGACATTTGTGATTTGACATCTCGGCCACGATTTGGCCTGTCTGATATTTTTTTTTTCGTTTTTGTTTCCACACTTTGATTTTTAAATAAATTACACACTGAATCGCCATTACTTTTCACTTGAGATAAAAATCTAATTTGTAGTATGTTTTTTTTCTTTCTGTGTCCGTTACTTATTCTTTTTGTCTTATCTTTGTAGCAAATCATAGAATAAAGCAACGAAACAATTTCAATTAAACATCGATATAATACACACCACACCAAATGACATTTGAATCAACATGAAGTTGGTTTGCTTCTATTGAATAAAACTACAATCCCTATTAATAAACGAATTATAAAAAAAGTTAATTAAAAATATTAAACATTAAAATCTGAAAACAAGTGAAAATAAATTAAATAAAATGAAAACAAAAATGATGAGCCGTCATTAGGTGTAAAAAATAGAAATGTTATCTAAAGCGGGTCGACCTTTATGTGTTTTGTATATATTGGTACCGCTGTGCAGCGGTATAGGCGTATTCAAGCATACTTTCCGCTGAGTAATTGAAATATAATATTTATTTTTTCACATAATTCGTCACGACATTAATTTTTTATCTTTTTTATTCACATTTCACATTGTTTTTTTTTATATTTATATAATAAATAAATCCCGTACGAAATGTAATACAATAACCAATATATACTTCGCTTGACAGCAGATTTCGATAGGGACAACTAATGACATTTGTGATTTGACATCTCAACCACGGTTTGGCCTGTGTGAGTGTTCATTTTAACCAAAAAACTATTTACAAAAGGTCTTATTATTTAACTAATACATATCAGAATTTCGTTTAGTGAGGCTGTTTGAAGCCTCTTATCTAAATGCAATTGTAGAATTAGTCTCGTCAATGATATAATTAGAATGAATTGTTTTTTAAAGTTGGGAAAATATGAAAAAAAACCAATATTGCTACTACCCAAGGAGGTATAAAAAGAGAGAAAAAAAAGTTATTGAATTAGATTATATCAAAATAAACAAAAATGTTAATACTATTAGCAAAGCTAAAATTAATAAATGAAATAAAAGACAGCGGTTGATGTTTACAGCACAACGGCACAAAACAAAATGAAGGATTTTTTTTATTTGATTTATATACATATAATAGACCAAGAGCCACTCTAACAAGTAACTTTTTTTTTTTGCTTTATGTCAGAAAACTATATTGAACCATGCAGCTAGACATACACTAAACAAATAATTTTACGTCTGTCATTACAGCCACCCACTTCGCGAAATCTGCACTATTATTCGCGGATAGAAAACACATCAATTAATAAAGCGAGCTGCATGTTTGATTTTCTGGAATATATTTTTTCTTTGCTCAAAAATTCTTCGATTAAAATTTCTGCATGAAATTCTGCATTGTTTACAAAATCTGCATGAATGAATTATGTAAAAAAAACTATCAAATTTTTTGTCAGCTTTATGTCTGAAATTTTAAACATCGATTTTTTATCATAAAATAACACTAAATTATAAAAATCTGCACTTAAATACACATATTTATTGTTTTCTGCATAAACAAAATTACATGTTTATATATATTGAAAACACTCAATATGACACATTGAACGCACTCATTTGAGCTGTCAAGCAACATTTCCATATATACAAACATGTAATTTTGTTCATGCAGAAAACAATAAATATGTGTATTTAAGTGCAGATTTTTATAATTTAGTGTTATTTTATGATAAAAAATCGATGTTTAAAATTTCAGACATAAAGCTGACAAAAAAGTTGATAGTTTTTTTTACATAATTCATTCATGCAGATTTTGTAAACAATGCGGAATTTCATGCAGAAATTTTAATCGAAGAATCTTTGGACAAAAACAAAATGTATTCCAGAAAATCAAACATGCAGCTCGCTTTATTAATTGATGTGTTTTCTATCCGCGAATAATAGTGCAGATTTCGCGAAGTGGGTGACTGTAATGACAGACGTAAAATTATTTGTTTAGTGTATGTCTAGCTGCATGGTTCAATATAGTTTTCTTACATAAAGCAAAAAAAAATAGTTACTTGTTGGAGTGGCTCTTGGTCTATAAAAAATTCTGGCTACCAATACTACTCCTAATTTTTGTAATATCAAATTTATATTTATAAATATTCCGGTTCTGTATGATTTCAATGTTTTAGAAATGTTTAGTCCAATTGTGGTTTTTCATGTACGGCTCAGTAAAATGATAGTAAAATTTATATAAGGTCTCGTCACCTGTGCCTCATACAATAAGCTTCCGATGGCTTCGTGATATGGTATTTTTGTTGTGTTGTTCTCGTTATCGCCCGTTGTTTTTGAGTACTTCGTATTAGACTTGACTGCTTGTGCTGACATAATTCACACCACACGCATAATTTTCATCAATAAACCAACTATCCTCAACTCGCTTGATTTTCGAGAAAACAAGAAAACATATAATTAAAGAAATTAGTAAAAACTAAAACATAGAAACAAATCAAAGCCACTCAGAGACAGTGAGACAGTCAAAAATTGATTCGATTATGAAAAGGTGTCAATCTAGTCGATTTAATTGAAAAAGTAATTTTATACCGTGAAAATGAGTCCGCTAGAAAGTCTTCGTCGAATTTTGACTTGGCTTTGTGTCTATCCTGGAGAGGGAATTAACAGTGAATGCAGGAGAATTGTGTTTATTTCGTGTGTTTTTATTTTAAATTTTATTGCTTTAGTAGGCAGTATTGCCTACTTCTTAAGATTTCTATCGACCAATTTGGAACTGTCTCTGTACGCATTGTATCAAATTACTGCTATGTTACCATTTGATGTAACAATCGTAGTTGCATTTAGCATGCAAAACAAAATTGAATGTATTTTTCGGAAATTGGAAGACATATGCAGTGAATGTAAGTACTCTGACTATAGTTTAGTCAGGTTGGGCAAGCAAAATGCCGCTTCGGAATTTCTCTTACTTGAAAATGAAAAATAATAACAAGTTTTTTATCTCAAATTTAGACGGAAATGGCAAATTGTCTGGATTTTTGGAACATGCAAATAACAAAAGTGAATTGTTTTGGCGAATTTTTTTCAAATATGTTATGATTGGGTATTTCATAAGTTTGACACTGGAAGCAACAATTCCAGTATTATCTAACTGGTCGACAGAGGAAAGTTTCAACGCTGAATATTTGTATAATGCATATAGACTTGTGTGAGTGAAAAATATCAATTATAACATGTTTCATGGAATTTTTTCAAATCTCAATGTCAATTTTCTTGAACAAATTCCATCAGTCTACCCTGGAATCAAACAACACCACTTGGATATTTCGGCGAAATGTGTTTCGTCCAAATCTTCGCTCAATGCTACTTGATTTTCAACGGTGCTGTTATCATACTCTTCATTTCACTATCTTGGTATCATCAGGCTTTTTATAAAATGTTTTACCATTCTATGCAACAATTTGGTGATCCGGAAAGAGGTCAATATGATAAAGAAATACTTTGCAACTTAATCTGTTTTCATACAAAAATCAAAGAGTAAGTAAGCAAGTAACAATGAACACTTTTGGGAAATTATTGAATTTTCTTTCAGTTGCTTCTTGATATCGAACCAGTTTTACAGTCTTATTACATTCGTTCAAGTTCTGTTCACCATATTCTCTTTGGCTTGTGGTATTTTTCAATTTGATTTGGTAGCTAAATACACATTGTGTGCAATAATTCCGCCCTTTTACAATCGCTTGCAAAATTTCAGCATATGATCCGATCAGATTATATTGGAAGTGTGTTTTTTCTGGTGGAATCGATCGCATGTTTATCAATAGTGTTTTGTTTCTGTTACAATGGACAAATCACAAGCGAATGTTTTGGAAGGTTGTCCGATTGTTTTTACCATAACAATTGGCCAAATGCGCCAATAGAATTGCAAAAATATATAAAAATTATGATCATGAATGCTCAAACTCCAATCTATTATCAGGTAAATTTATTTGAGTAAAATTCAGTTTCTTATTTCATTCATTTATTCGTTTTAGGGATGTGGAATTGTCGTTATGAATTTGGAAACATTTCGTAAAGTAAGACATAAATTAATTTGCACAGGTTCCTCTAAATAAACTTGAAAGTTTTTTGTTTCGTTGCAGACATTGAGAAATGTTTATACTTATGTTATGCTGTTCAAAACGATGACCCCAAACTAAATGATACATCAAAATATCAATATATATATATAAGTTTGTTTTAACTTAAATAGATAAACATTTAATCAATAATTTAAATTTTTCATAATTTCTGCAATCTGCTGTAGATGACAAAACAAATGCATTAAAAAACCAAAAAGTAGTAACACTTTGCAAACTGTAGATGAAAAGTACCAATCAATTTTATCGTGAATTTCATTCATGACATGAAACCGAATTTAATGTCACACCCAAAATCCTTATAGACAATTTTAATTAATGATTCGTAAATAATGTCATGGCATGTTACTTGAAACAAAAGTATAAAGCGACATGAATCTTAAAACGCCATGTGTTTGGCTATTTGAAAATGCTCATAATAAATAATCTAAAAATATTGATTTTTCAATCAGATTCATCTATCTATCTACTCGAAGCCTTACTTCGCCATTTTATTTGGTGTAAAAAGTTCCCATAGTATTAACTTGTATGCAAAGAGAAAATGAATACATTTTTACTTTCATTGGGTCGAATCCATAGGTGATGACGAGGGTTCCTAGGGGTCGGATGACCCCCCCTAAAATATTTTTGGGAACCCTCAACAATTTTTTTTGCTCTTCACTTTTTTTGGCCGAGAAAATTCTTCAGATTTGCTAGGGATTTTCGCCTTGAAAAATGACTTCTAAAAAAAAACGATTTTCTTGTCATTTTTGGATTTGCAAGGCAATTCGAAGTAGGAAAATTCTTTTGATTTGCTAGGGATTTTCGCCTCAAAAAGTGACTTCCAAAAATACGATTTTATCCTCATTTCGTACAAATTGTTGACATCTTTAGGGACCCCCTACAAAATGTTGTCATCACCCCCTTAATTTTTTACGTCATCATCTATGGTCGAAACCCTTCACAATGCTGTTGAATTCAATGTGCTTTTTAACCAATAAAATATCATTTTCTCGAACCAAATAAAAATCTACTTTTTTTAATCAGATGTGAAGGTCTTAAAGAGCAAGTAGTAAGAAATAACTGTCTTGATCAACTGAAACAAGAAAAACTCGATTAAAACTAATGCATTTGATAAATGTTATCGCTTTCATTTACTTTTGTGAATGTTTCCAAGTTTATAATAGCGATTTTGGCTCCGTGATAGAAAAGCGGCCGTTGAGCGTTTGCAATCATTAGAATAAAATACTTTTGCAACGAAATCGGTAGGTCTTGCCAATTTGCTTCAAACAAACATTTGATCATTTTGGCAAAACTGTCCGTGGCCAATTTCCCGAAGTAACAATATATAAAGAAATTCGCTGAACTAACAACCAGAGCCATGAAAATGATAATCAAATTAAAGTCGGTATGTTGCAATTGCAAATCCAATTGGAACATAACGCAAGCCAAAAATGGTACATTGCAAATCAATTGAATCGTAATAAATGGACTATAAACGATCGTGGTGTCCAAAAACCAACTGAAAATATAAAAAGCGTACAATCAATTAAATATGAAAGAAAAAATCCGTATTGTTACTGACTTTTTAACCGAATTATGAAATTGAATCAATGCGCAAACCAATTTTTCTGTGTTTCTCATTTTATTTTTTGGTTCGTCCAATTTGCATAGTGTATGCTTAAACATTTTGTAAAATGCAAGATGATGCAAACAAAATGATATGAACAGCAAAAGAATTGAACCGTTGAAAAGCAAATAACCACCACCTATAAAAATACTTTAGCAAAATAACGAAATGGAAAAATAAAAATAAAAATTAGTATTTTTCAATTTTTTTTAAATAAAAATAATTTACTTGAAAAATACTTCGACGAAATAACCAAACGGAACAGCTTGGTTCCATGGAACGCTGAAATGCACAACGAATATTAATGTTCAACATGAAAAAAAAA